GGGTCTTGCAGCAAATCGTGCGTCAAGGCAGAGATTGGCTGAAAAGTTCATACAAAGATTCGATGAGGTTATTCCATGTCAATCGCAGTAAAGAATAGCGTGTGCATGACATCATATCTCGATTAACTAGATCTTCGAGACATTCAATGGAACTGAGACATTATCCAGGCTTGTACAGGTCATTATCTCATTCTGAAATCCGTGGTGTGCATAGGACTAACTCGAGCTGCTTAAGGATGCCTTTGGCTTTTTGTCAGAGAAGAGTAGTGTAGACGAGATCGAACGGTGGCAGAATGTAAGTACATTAACTTCATAATTCATAGGATTGCTCCTGATTTACAGCCACAGAGCCTTGATGAAGAAAGGCTTAGAAAGATAAAAAAGGCACTTGATATGGCAAAAGACACAATACGTGACAGAGCGAAGCAATATGAGGCACGAGCATTTATCATATCTTTCCATTTCCATTTAACCATTTGATGTGGCAGAATATAAAAGACGATCTCTTAAGTTGGATCAAGGAGAGACAAGAGCAAGGCACTCGAAGAGAATCATCTGCTCATGGTGTAAGACATACAAATAGTCATGGGACAAACACAAGGACGAGGTCGACAGATAAGACAAAAAGAAGCTCTTCAGTAGCCTCGGCCTTGAATACGACTAGAGAAACAGGGCATAAAACGATGGATACCAGAAGCGGAAGGGGCTTGGACAAACGAAGATCAACAGCAGGAACTCATAGCCAGTACGAGCGAAGATAGGTACCGGAACTACTAGTAATGTAATAATAGATTGAGAGAAAATGTTCAGTAATGAAGTAAGTAGGGATAGAGAAAAACTGGAGTGACTAGCCCAGCTCATGGCCTTTGTTTGCAAGCCTTTACATTGTCATGTACACGGCCAGACCTGTTAATTTTACATCACTCCATGCATTACAAGTAAGTTAAATCGACATGGCAGGAGTTGAATTTGAATGACCTAGACAAAATTGGTCCAAATTAGTAGCCAACAGTTTGCAGCATCACATCCAATCGAGTAGGACGAAGCACATCAGAGTCCACGTTTGAAAGTGTAAGGAAACTCACTGTTCCTCACAAGAGAATTCTAATCACTCTTAGTTCACTCAACTACTGACTAGGATAACCTAGTACTCAAGCAAGGGGTTAGGGGAAAAGAATCCCCTTTACCTAGTGATTGATACTGTCTTTTATAGGGTGGTACACATGTAGATACATGAGGAGGAAGTGTAACTAACTACAATGAGAATATATGTGCTTGTGGGTCCTACTATGTAATGATCTGACACAATCAGCAATGTAGTAATAATAAAATACAAACCAGTAAATCAAATCCTTACACTTGCCCTCTAGCATTTAGTCCTAAATACTAAAAATCAGTAAAAAAGGCAGTGAACTTACTTAAAAGTAACAGTTAGTAATGAGTAAATAATAAAATACCTTGCCCATGTGTATGAGAAACATCCTTGTAATGTATTACTGCCTCTCTGAACTGATCTGAAGTCAATCTAGTAAGTATTAAGACAGTAGTAGCATTCTAGATAGTGAGTAGTATGGTTCTAAACTATGTGAAGCTAGATAAAACATTAATAGAATTAAACATAGTCAATATTACCATATAGTCAATTAGTAGGAAAGTTGCCTCTTGATTGTTACTATCAATACAACACTTTTTGAAGAGAATCAGTAGAGTTCCTGGGGAGATATAGTATTTTGGCTCTTGAGTATTCTGAGACATACAGTGTAGATCAATATGTACAGAAGTGGAAATTCTAGCAGTGTGGTAATTACAAATATTCTCTTCTCCTATGTCTTTAGGAAGCACAGAGGTAAATCCCTGATTAATAAAGCTATAGCCTTCTTCCTTAATAGAATGTATTAGTGTTGTAGCTTCTAGCTAACCTTGTGTGTTTCTCTACTTCTGTAGAATAGTTATACAATAATAGGTAGCAGAGATGTATTCTAAAATTCCTCTACTATGTCCTTGATTTTTCCAATAGACTAGTTCCTACAAATGTAATACCTTGTGCTTGTATTAGTAGAATGTCTCTAAATGTGTACTCTTTTGTGTGTAATAACCAACTGTGATGCAAAACTGAATATCCTGTTGAGCTCAATGTTCAAATACTAATTGTAGAGTACAACCTAGAGTGTAATATTCATCCTTGAATGAAAATATTGTCTCAAATTCAATAAGATTGTAATGTATGAGTCTAATATTACTAGATATGTGTGTATATGTATAGTATCTCTGTGTGTAATGAATGTCCTACTATATTCTCATACTGTTTCCTTGTGTCTTAACTTGTTTGTGTCTTCATAAGTCAATTGATTTGATTCCTGAATCGTCCAAGTATACTTTCAATGTCTTATAGTATAATGTTCTATTATAATATGTTTAAGTAGCATTCTCTACTTTCCTGAGTACTGTAACTGTCTGTATACTGTGTTGTTCTATATATGTTTCAATGAAATGTTCTGTCTGTATGTACAGTAGTGCTGCCTGAAGTCCTGAGTGTATACTGCCAATTCTCTATTAATTTGACAAATCCATGTGTGGATTAATACATTCTAGCATTGACTTCCTGTCTTTCTGTGTTCTTGTCCTTGTACTAATGTATTCCTTCCTTATGTACTTATTATGTGTCCTGTTTCCTATAGTACTAATACTGTCTAGTACTGTAAAGTCCTTTACAAAATCATTCTATAGTAATTCAAGTAAGAAAACTGTATGTTCAAACATGATTGTATGCTTAAAGAGTGTGTATACAATACAATGTGTGTACCTCTCACCCTCTTATTAAAATATGACTTTATTTTCAGTGTAAAATGTCTAGTATAGTTCTGAAACCTTTCTAGAGTGTCTGGAGAGGTCTTCTGCATGATTCTGTACTTCAAACTAATTATAGCTACTCATTCCTAGAGTAGATTAAACTGTATCATTGTTCAATAAATGTTCTAGAGCTTCCTAATACTCTATTTCCTTCTGTAGCATCAAAGTATCATTCCTGAATACTTGAATAGTCTGTTCAATCATTACTAATTCACTATCACTCTAATGTTTGCTAGCTGTATGTGTATTACCTTTGCTTTCCCTTGAAGTAGTGTGATAATCTGTTTGAGCAGATTGAGTAGATTGTATAGATTGTCTAGGTTCCAAACCTGTTCTCTAGCTTAAAGTTGCTCTCTGAACTTCTGTACTTTGTTTTATACAAAGCATATCCATTCCTGGTCTCAGTAGTGTCTTACTATCCTTGTAGTACATAGATTGTAGTGGTTTTACATTCTGTAGATTGTAATTGTCCTTCTGTAGCTTGAATAACCTGATTCCTACTATGTATCCTGAGTATATGTGTGCTAGTACATCTGTTTAAGTGTCTATAATGTTCATACTATGTCTAATAAAGTATTCTAAGTCTATTCTAATGAATCCTGACTGTCTAAAGGTGTATTTCACAATGTAATACTTTATGTTCTACTATAGATACAATGTATACCTTAGATCCTTGTACTTTGAGCTAGTCTCAATGTTTACTAACAGATCTCTATCATAAACTGAATAGTTTTGTAGCATAACATCCAATTGTACCTTATAGAATGTTGTTCTATGTGAATTACTTCAATTGTACTCATTACTAACTGTTTCTTCAATCCTGAAGATGGAAATGTTTGTTCCTATGTTGTAGAATCAATATACCTGAATGTCTGAACATTCTACTAGTCCTAAAAATGTCTGTAACAGTTCTTTACTTTTGAATACCTTCCTGTACTGAATATAATTGACTGTGTATGTGTATATCTGTGTCTTTCTATTACTGTCAATGTATCTTTATGCCTGATACTTATTCTAAAGTAGTATCATCTTATTATCAATGTATATGTACTGTTCCTTACTTAATGTACTAATGTCTGTCTTCTAATGTGTGATGTAGCCTTCTAACTTAATAGAATACCTGTGTGAATTGTTTAGATTAAAATATTTCTCAGTATCCAAGAGTAGTTGTATTTTATAGTCTAGTAATACTTGATAGATTTTCCTGCTTACACAGTTTACTATTTGTATTACTTTGTAAACTATAATACTATCTGGCTAGTTATATTCTGATTGTCTAACATTCTCAGGTCCTTTCCTAATGTTCTAGTATGCATTCTTATTGTCTGTAAACATCCTGTATTTCTTAAGAGTGTTGTTTTAATTTGTGGCTCTAAGAATTAGTAGTAATGTCTCTGAAGTGTTCATATATGTATTACCTTGTGCTTGTAGCATCTTATATTCCTTGAAACAATAGTTGTATACATGTTTCCTAGTCCTTTCCATGTGTCATACATATCTGTAGGGATACAAAATTGTTTCTATACTGTATGCCTTTGCTCTCAAGTGTAAAATGTTATTGTATACTTTATACAGTTGTCTGTACCTTAAGGTACCTACCTAGTACTGTTTCATACAGTTCTGCTTGTTTGCAATTTGATTTCTAAGTACTGTAGTCTTATAGAGTCTTGAATATATTGAATTCACCCTTTCAAATGTGTAGTTTGTATGCCTGAACTTGTGTTCTGTTGTAGAACACTCTAGTTCTGTTACTAAATCCTTAGTAGTGTCTTCACAAAGTATCCAAATTGATAAAACATGTATATTACTGCTAGATATGTTTGAGTCTGTGTCATAGTCTGTAATCAACTCTAATTCTATGTAGTTCTTACTGTCCAAGTTGTCTGCTAACTTATCTAAAACAGTGTAACTGATACTAACATTACTAGATAATAAACTATTATCCTACACATTGTTTAATATGATTGTATTGTGAGTAGGACAATTCCTAGCTAAGTGGTCATCTTGTTTGCAAATGAAACATAGTCCTTTTACTCTCATTTCATCCAATTTCAATTGGGAATAATGTTTGAACCCTGTAGTATATGTCTTATGATTGTTTTCTGTCTTACTTTCATACTAGTCATTGTTCCTTAATAGATAATATAATTGTCTAGCCTTTCCTTTGGTGTTTGTACTACTTGTATGTATAGTATCCTGACTAGAGTCACTGTGATTGAAATCATTACTTTCACTATCCTGTAGAGTGTCTTAATTATTTCCTGAATTATTAGAACTGTCTGTATACAAATAATCACTCTGAGAATCATTACTACATCCTTACAGATGGAATTGACATCTAGAATCTATGTGCCATTTGATTCCTATGGATTCATTTGCTTTTTCAATACTCTCAAGCTTATCCTTAAAGATTGAATAGTCTACAGTGTCTGGATTTAAGTAATCTAATTGTAATTGCCTCTAGTACTTGAAATTCAATCTATACCATGCCTGTCTAGTTAATTCTTGCTGAGAAATGTTTCCTAGATTTGTTACTTTCATTTCTAGATTATATAAATAATCCTAAACATTCCTATTACTTTGTTTCAAAGTATTAAACTCTTTTTACAGTATTTCAGTAAAGTTAGAAG